ACACACCTGTAGTCTTTTTGCCTTTTCATACTGTTTGAGGGTTTCTCAAGGCGAGAATATTGGAGTGGTTTGCCACTTCCTCCTCCAGCCAAAGCTATGGTTTTTCCAGGAGTCATGTTTGGATGTGACAGTTGGACCATAAAGAAGGCTGAGCACCAGAGAACTGATGCTTTCAAACGGAGATGCTGGAGAAGACTCTTGAGAGTCCCTTGGACTGCAAGATCAAACCAGTCAATCCTAAAGGAAGTCAACCCTGAATATTCATTGGAAGGACTGGTGCTGAAGCTGAAGCTCCAATACTCTGACCACCTGATGTGAAGAGGTGACTCCTTGCAAAGACCTTGACACTGGGAAAGACTGAGAACAGGAGGAGAAGGGGGCAGCAGAAGATGATACGGTTAGACAGCATCACTGACTCCCTGGACATGCAGTCCATGGGGGTCACAAAGCGCCAGACACAACTTAGTGAATTAACAATAACAACAACAGCAACACACGTAGTCTTTTCTGGTAGCTGGAGTCACAACTCGGACGGTGAACTTGGCCATGGCTGTGTTCCAATAAAATTTTATTTATAGAATCAAGTGTTGGGCCCGATTTGGCCCACGTGCGAACACTTGCCAACCCCTGCACTAAACGGAGAGCTCTGCCTGGCCCAGCCAGCTTGGTCCACACGCCGCAGGCCAGGTAACTCTTTTCTCCTCCCAAATCCATGCAGACCTGTCCTTCCTTCCCCCTCAGCCCCTTTCATCTATCTAGGTGATTGCTTACATCTCCTGAACTTGAACTCTCCCTCCCACACGATGAAAGAATCAGGTGACAAATGCAGCCTATTGGTTCAGAGTCTAAACCCCCTTCTTCCCACTAGTCTCTCCATTCCACCATCATCGAGTCATCCTCTAACTTCTCTGTCGCTCTTAAAATAATACGTAACAGTGGTATCAACAGCATCTGTCCAGTTGCTGGATTCTTCAGAGGGATCTGTCTACTTCTCCCCCACTGGAATTCTTCCCTTGAGCGGGGTTAAGGTTTAAATTGCCTCTTGAACTTTGCCTTTGGAACCCACCAAGGCTGTCAGCCTCTTGCTGGAGAAAGTACTTTTCCTTTGGCCTTCAGTCTCACTTGCATAAATTGCCACGTGAACCCCACCCACCTTGGTATCACCTACCCGCAGGTCGAGGTACCACATGCTCTTAACCACCTCCTCCAAGCAGGCGGTCCCCACCCTCCAGATGAAACGCTCCGTTCTCTGAAGCACCCCTGAGGTCAGGGGCGACCAGGACCTTCACCCACTGGTTCTTTGGACCATCTGGTTTGCATCCCCTCCCCATGCTCATCTCATGGTGCCTGAGGGCTTGGCCATCCACTGACCAGTGACTTTAGCGATCCGGTTGCTATCTTTCAATTACGTGGCACTGAGGTCAGAGAATCTGGTCTGAATGGTACTGGCCTGGGAGTGTTCTGACTTTCTCTGTGGCACAGTGCTGTTATCATTTCTGGGAAACACCCACACCGTGTGCTCGGGAAGAAGGTTGAAATTTTCCTAACTGCTGGGTTGGGGGCCCACATATGTCCATTATGCACAGTTTGTTAATGCTTTATCCATTTTATCAGCATCAGGGAGGGGAACTGTTCTCCCCACCACAACTGGGCTTCTGTCTGTTTGCTCCTTGCAATTCTGACCATTTTTCCTGAGGCTTGTGAGGCTGACGTTGCTGGAAGCCTACACGCACAGGATCATTATGTCAGCCGGGTACATTGTTTCTCTTGTCATTAAGTCTTGACCTTTATTCTCTCGGCGGCTTCCCGCCTTCCCGTCTGCCGGTCTGAGACTGAAATTGTTAATACCTGCTTTCTCTCCACCGGCATCCGCCTCGTGTCTTTTGTCATCCCTTTATCTTCCACCTCTGCATGTCAATGTTTTAGGCACGTCACTTGTTAATTACACAGAATCGGAATTTTAAAAAGCAAAACCTCTCTTTCAAAAGATGCATTTAAACGTCTGACGACTGTTTTAACACCACCCCTCCCCCTAGTATTAGTCTGTCTTTCTCTTTTTTATCTTCCTCCCACGAAACCCTGCATGGTCTGCAGCTTGAGCTAAGGGCAGAGAAGGCTTACATGCCTTGACTGGTTGGGGGAGGGGTGTTCTGCAATAAGATCAGAAGAATTTGAAAGGAAGAAGCCAAATCATGAACTGTGTGTAGATTTGTAAGTGGGGCAGACAGACCGAAAGCCAGGGTCTGCGTGAGGTCACCCTCCTTCCGTCTCTGTGGCCGGCATTGTATGGACCCACTGTCCCCGCCATTCCCCACGCTCCATACCCTGGACACAGTGGTGATGGGGGCACAGTCAGAGGGGCATAAACCTCTCCCCCCCAAGGAGCCTGGTTTATCAGAGGGTTTCATGAGGCTGAAAACAGCCCTGCCTCCCCAGCCTGATCCAGAATGGAGAGCCCTGTGGAGGGTTTACATAACTCAGAGAATCTGTCTGGTTTCAGGAAGCGGGGAGCTGGGTCAGAAAGACTTTTCTTCTCCTTTCCTCAGAGACACGAAGCTTAGCAGAAAGTGCGGGTGACAGAAGAGAGGGACATTGGAGTTGACATCTTGATGTCGGGGGAGACGAGGTGCCACCAGACGGGAAGCCGCGCCGTGAGCACGGTGCCCGGGGTGGGCTGTCAGTGGCTGGCACGGACGTCTCTGGAGCGTGCGCGGCTCCCGGGGCTCGGGAGGGCCCGGTGCCAGCTCAGCCCTGCAAGGCCCCTCAGTGCCCTGACACCGCCCACCCCGATGGTCCGTGTGGTCCAAGCCAAGCGGAGATTGACCAGCTGTGCCTGGGCACGATGCCCACGCCCCCTCCCCATGCCCGGGGCAGGGAGAGCAGCCCGCAGGCTTTGATGAGGCCAATCAAGCCCTGGATCTGGGTGACAGTCCTCACATTCTGAAGGCTTCACCCATCTCCCATCTCCTTGGATCATCGCCACAGGCATCTTGTTTGATGCTGACCCTGGAGTGGGGGCGAGGGAGCGACTCGCGAGTCTGACAGGCAGGAATGAGAATCGAGAAAAAGGAAAAGATCCCGCCCCGCGACATGGCAGCCCACGCCTGTGTCCGGGGCTTCGTGGAGCAGACGGGCCCCTTCACAGGTCGCATCAGAGTCCAGCAACCGCAGTGACTGCATGGACACACGGGCCCCATGGCAGCTGAGGGTCTTGAGGAAAGGATGCGACGGGGTGTAAAGAGACCTCAGGAAAGGTGGGGACTGAGGGGGAGAGTGGGTGGGATTCTAAGAGGAAGCAGTTACTGGCAACCACGGTCCACAGCCACAGGGCAGACCATTGAAGGAAGCGGTGACATTGCCTTCAGGGGGAAGAAAAGCTGATTTTGAGATGTTACCGGTCAGAGGGCACTTGAATGAACTCAACACAGAAGGCAGTGGCCACCGGACCATCTCTCTGAGCCGAATTATGTTTTCAAAGTATCGTGGTTTCCAGGGACCTCCCTGGGGGTTCAATAATAAAGGATCCGCCTGCCACTGCAGGGGACGTGGGTTTGATCCCTGGTCTGGGAAGATCCCACCTGCCGCAGGGCAGCCGAGCCCAAGTGCCACAACTACTGAGCCCCTGCTTTACAAGAGAAACAGCGAGAAGCCCACACGCTGCAATAGAGAGTAGTCCCACATCGCGACAGAGGCCCAGCGCAGCCATAGATTAATTAATTAAAAAGTTTTAAGCTCCTTGAGGTCGCGCTTGTGCTAGCTGTTCCAAAGTCACCGCGGACCCTGCCCCTCCCAACTATTCGCACCCGCCCAGCCCCACCTGCCTGTCCCTGCCTGATGGCCTACACCCAATTCTGCTATCCTTCATCCCCTACGGGCATCTGAGTCTTCTGCTCTTGCATGGAAGGCACCATGCATGCTCTTTCAGCCTGGAGGCTGCGGTACTCGTGGTTTTGTGGGCATGGGTGGACCAGGTAACTCATCTCCATGATGCCTCCTCATGGCCCGGAGGCTGGGGCCTTATCCAGGCTCTGGATGATTCGAGAGCAGTGGAGGGGAAGAAGAACCCATAGGGCCTGGTGACTGTCTCCGGAAGACACAGAACAGGGGCTCGAGGATGACAGTGAGCTTGGCTAGGTCAGCCAGGTACCTGGGGGTTATGGGAGACCCTGCGGGAGACGGGGTCTGCATGGCAGCAGATGGGACAATAAGCTGACCGTGGAGATGCTGGGTGCGGGGATCCTGTGACTTCTGGAAGGTGGCTGAACCCATATGCATAAGTGGCGGGAGAGAAATCGAGGTTGAAGGTCAGCGTGGGCATCACCAGCAAAGAGATGGAGAATCAAGCCCTGGGGGTGGGGGAGAACGGCCAGGGAAAGAGTGCCAAGTGAGAAGAAGGGGGCCCTGGAGATGGAGTGCTGGGGGACATGAGTTTCAGGAGAGGCCATCGGCGAAGCCGGCAGGAGAGCCAGGGAAGGAACAGACACGAGAGAGGAAACTGGGAGGGCCCGCAGCCAGAGAGAGGAAAGCAGGGGCTTGGAAGAGAGGAAGGAGTTAGGATGGCCAGCAGCTGCTGCCTTTGTGGCTCCTGGACCTTCCCATCCACCTGGGGCTGAATTCTCAGATTTGGGACCGGCGAATACAAAGGGCGATTGTGGTACTCGAGCCCTGGTGGATTCGAGCATCTGTCGGCAGGTCCTGGGATCAACGGCCCAGAATTACCGTCTTAGCGTGATTCATCCATTTAAAGCATTTGGAGAACAGCATGCAATTACAGCCATGGTTGGTTTCCAAAACAGCTACCCCTTAGCTAGCTTGCTGGAAGAACTCGGCATAAGCCCGTTTCTTTGATGGAGCATCTCTCTCAGGTGTGAGCGCCCCTGCCCTCCTCCTCACCCCCACCAGTCAGAACTGGGGGGCTGGGAAACTGCAGAGTTCTGTGCAGACGGCTCACCCGAGGCACCAGCTGGTGCAGTGCCACCAGGGCACGGGGTGTTGCTTACCTGGCGCTCTCGAAGGTGGCCGATGCCGTCTTCCCTACGGCCCCAAATCCAACTCCAACTGCAAGACCCTCTGAAAGAGACATAAAGATGCACGAGGTGTTAGGAATCACTCTTGTAATATTACATATGCATATGGGCTTCCTAGGGGGCTCCGTGGTAAACAACCCACCGGCCAAGGCAGGGGATGTGGGTTCGATCCCTGGATCAGGAAGATCCTCTGGAAGAGGAAATGGCAACCCACTCCAGTGTTCTTGCCTGGAGAATCCCACGGGCAGAGGAGCCTGGTGGGCTACAGTTCATGGGGTCACAGTCAGACACAACGGAGCGACTAAACAACAACAATACATGCACACAGCATTGAAGTTGGCTCAGAAGCCAAACCAACAGACCGCTGTGGACTGACTCAGTGCTGTCGTCCACCAGGGCAGGGAGATGCATGGTCTGACCCACGTGGTGGGCGTACCCCTGGGGTACCATGGAACCAGTCACATACTCCATCACACCGGCAAACCTACGGTCCTTTCTGCATACTTTATAGTCACTCAACATGCTTACACTCGCTGTTCAGAACAGGCAGCTTCTTCACTTCTTTGTAAGAAATCAGAACAACAGGGTTTTGACATGACACAACCCAGGTTAAAAGCAGATCCTTTGAACGCTCATTTCTGAAATGGGCGTGCCGATTCTGTTTGCAGATAAAGGAACTCAATGTAAAGAACGAATGTTACATTTGTAAAGGTCAGTGAATTTTTCTATTATGCGTTGATGTTGAGAAACTGAAGTTTTTGAGTCCCTGAGTTCATTTGAATTTGACTGTCTTAATCCTTTTTGTTAATTAAAAATGCTTGAAAAAAAGGGGAACTCTGATTCAGAGGTCCAGGCTCCTCATTCTTGACAGCTTCTTGACCTTTTCTTTGTCTTTCAGAGATTTCCTCCGAGGGTGCTCACAGCAGAAGCCGTCACTCCAGGGAGGAGTTTGGATAATAAAAGTTCAACACTTTCAGGACAGCCTGATGCATATGACAAACTTCAAAAGGAATGAGCCTCCTTGGTGAGGTTCCATATATCCCTGGGGGCTGAATTTCAGGCCTGGCTAGGATGGATATGTCTCAGGGTTTCAGACATCATGGATATGTCTCAGGGTTTCAGGCATCCCTGGGATCGAGGGGCAGGCAGCCTCTAACGCGGCCCTTGAATCTTGGGAGCTGTCCGTGGTCCTGAGAGGATGAAAGTAGAGGACATCTGAGCTGCCTCCATCTGGCCCATCTCCCACCTTGGGGGAGCCCAGGGTTCACAACTCTGCTGTTCTCAATCTTTTTTTGTACCAACACAGCCCAGACCACAACTCACTCCCATCGGTAAGTGTGGGGTTTCCAGGGCCACGTTCTTCACCAGGTGTCAAAAGCTAAGCAGAGACTGGCCAGGGTTCCCCGACACCAGAGGGGTCAATCCCTCCCTTTGAGAAAACTTGCTTTCCTAAACCATAAACAGCAGCTGGTGGCTCTTTTGTTAAAGATTCTGCTCGAATGAGTCATTTAATGTAAATGATAGTGCAGCTCTGACAATAGGGCTTACATTAATTAGCAAACTAACCCTTTCCAGTTCTTTAGCACTTGACTTACTAATGCTCCCAACATCTCTGGAGGTTGGGGGGTGGGGGGGGAGGCTATCCAACTAACGCAGGAGAGAAAGGGCTCCTTCACAGTGACAGGGTGTCGAGGGGCAGAGCCAGGCTTGACCCTCAGTTCCCCAGTCCCCTCACCATCCCAGTTGGCTGAGATAGGCTGCAGCTATTCTCCCAGGTGTGGGCAACACGGGCTGGCATCTGAGTATCTGCATCCCAAGGAGGTTATGAGCAAAGTGAAGGCATCCTGCCTCTACCCCGCCCTGTAGCTTGGCCACGCTCACAGCGGGTACCACGGCCTCTGCCCCGCCCTGTAGCTTGGCCCCGCCCCGTAGCTTGGTCACGCCCCACAGTGGATACCACAGTCTCTGCCCTGCCCTGTAGCTTGGCCACGCCCACAGTGGGTAAGTGTGGGGTCTCTGGGGCAACGTTCTTCACCAGATGTCAACCCCTGCCGCCAAGTGCACACACGGTGGCCTCCTAGGTGGCTCAGCAGGTGAAGAGTCCCCCTGCAACGCAGGAGACACAGGAGACGCGGGTTTGATCCCTGGGTTGGGAAGATTCCCCTGGAGAAGGAAAGGGCAACCCACTCCAGTATTCTTGCTTGAAGAATTCCCATGGACAGAGAAGCCTGGAGTTAAAAGGGTCAAAAAGAGTTGGCCACGACTGAGCACACACACACGCGCACCTTAGGTGGTGGCCAACTCAGTTTCCCCCTTGATTTGGAATAAGGAGAGAAGAGGCAACGGAGGAAAGGAATGTGACTGCAGTTGTCTCTGAAGGTGGAGGAGTACCTGATAGTTAGATTATTGAGGAACCAAGACGAATGACCCACATGGCAGGAGCGTAAATATGGGAATGGAGGCAGACTCTGAAGACCGGCAGATGGTGGAAAGAACCGCTGGGTGAAACAGGGAAGAGAAAAAAATGCGACTGGTGTTCACACCCCAGGGCTTCCACCAAAAGTGCAAATCAGGGAGATAATTAAGACAAGAATCCAAAGTGGCTGGAATATTATCAGTAAGCCAGGCCTCTTTTCACAGCTACTGCCATTAAGCCAAGTGCAGAGAGAAGTGAGACAAACTTCCAAACCTGAGGTTATAAGGCCCCGGGATGCAGAGAGAGTCCCGAGGGCAAACTTGAGAATAAGCTCTAAACCTGCTCTGCCCATTCTGATCTTCTGTGGGGTGGGGGGCTGGGTTCTGCCTCTCACCATCTCCCATCCCTCCTGAATCTCCATCTCTCCCCATCCTCCATGGGGAGGGGTTGCAGGGGCCTTCTGTTCCTCCTTGACCGGGGAGCAGCCACCACCTTCAGAGACCAGCTCTCCACCCAGGGAGAGAGAGTCTCAACCTCCCTTCAACAAGCTAGTCCTGGGTCTCCCCCTGGTCTGCACCCCTCTGCCTGCGCTGTGAATCATTTTTATCTTGTTCCGGAGGTGGGAACAAGCAAGCCCCCCTATCTCATATCATTTCTTCACCTTTTCTGTATTTCGGCCATGCCACACAGCTACTCCCCAGTCAGGGACCACTGTGATGGGGAGAGACGGAGGGCTGCGCAGAGAGGAGGGGTGGTCTAACAATGGCCCTTCTAGCCAGATGATGCTTGACCACTACTTTTGCTTTAGGAGCAAGTCTGAATGTTATTCGTGCCCAGGTCACTCACTGAAAAACAGACAAATAACCATCCTGGAGCATCAGCTGCTGGACGGGACCACGGGGGCCACGGAGGCAGCCTCAGGAGCTGCCAAGGGGGCCGGGCAAGCTCAGCTTAGATCCCTCCTCCGCCCACCTGGTCACTGTCGCTAAGCTGGGAGATGGATATCAGGCCAGGTGAGGGGGCAGTGCTCACCACCCGACGTAGGTGTCCCCTCCCCGGCCATCAAGGACTTAACACACACCATGGGGCGGCCCTGCTGCCTTCGCACCTAAGCAGATCCCACAGCTTGGAGGAGGTTTTGGGGGAGACTGGCCCCCAACATGTGAATTCCCCTTCCTAGCCTGTGAGAAGGAAACCCAGGGAGATGGGAACTCTGAAATATTACACATTTATTGAACAAAGTATTGGTCTGTCCAGCCAGGTATTGCCACAGAATTCCATTGCCATGGAATTCCTATAGGGTCTTGAAAAAGTCCAATAAATGATGGGAGTTATCAACTTAAAGTATTATTTTTTTTTTTAGAAAAAGTAGTTCAACACACTTTTCTACTGTGGATTGTGAACCCTGCTGTTCATATGAGATGAAGTTAAGTTTGGGGAAAGATGAAAAACAGAGGTGTTCCAGAAGAGGTGGATTTAACTCCAATTCTTTTTTTCTTATTTTTTATTTATTTACTAATTTATTTATTTTTATTGAAGTATAGTTGATTTACAACATTGTTATTTCCTCTTGTACAACACAGTGATTTGGTTATACAAATAACGTATTTTATTTTCTTGGTCTCCAAAATCACTGTGGACAGTGACTGCAACTATGAAATTAAAAGATGTTTGTTCCTTGGAAGAAAAGCTATGACAACCCTAGACAGTGTATTAAAAAGCAGAGACATTGCTTTGCCAATAAAGGTCCGTAGAGTCAAAGCTATGGTTTTTCCAGTAGTCATGTGCAGATGTGAGAGCTGGACCATGAAGAAGGCTGAGCACCAAAGAACTGATGCTTTCGAACAGGCTTTCTGCAGGGAAGGGCAGGCTGGGGCCAGCTGCCCAGGAGGCACACCTTCATCGCTGTCGCCGTGCCTGGCCGCGCTCTGCCCCGCAAGCAGAGTCAGGGTACAAGTAACTCCTTGTGGGGGACACCTCTGGAGGTGCAGGGGGGTAATGTAGTCATGGTTTTATGACTCCTCTAAGAAACTGGGAGGAGACTTCTTTTTTTTAAGTCCCTTGGAGGACTTCTGCATGAAATTAGACTTTGGCAGTTCTTTTAGGATGATGAATAACCCCATTTATCCCTCCCCATACCTGACTCCCACCAAAGCATTTCCAAAACCAGACAAAGGAAAGATTTTGACACCTCAGATCAATGTAATGCTTTGCGGCACTGAAGGCAGATGGTTTATAGTACAATGCATGTGGCTCATGAGGGCAGTGGGGGGTGGTCCTTGTTTTCTCACTGGGAGGTTAACAGAGGAGGAAATTCACTCTCTGCTTCCCCCAGCCCAGTTCTGTGATTGCCAGGTGCTGGGTGGGGGCCCTCAGGGCTCCTCTGTGTGGGCCCCACATGGTTGTGGCTCTGATGGGTGAACCCGCCAGCCCAGCCTTGGGTCATCATGCACAGCGCAGAAAGGTCAGGGCTGTGTTCTCCCGAGTCCACGTCTTGTAGACAAAGCTGACCTACAGGAGAAGAGAATGTCGCGGGCACGAAGACAGCAAGAAAACTGGCCCTGAAGTGTTTATGTCTGTGTCTGATTTATCCCTGCAGCCTGAAGCCCAGCTGCACCTCCGCCCTT